AAGTTGGGGGGCCAAGGCCAAAGTGGTGGAGGAATTAATACTTAAATATCCCACAGAGAGCACATATGTTTCTTTTGTTAAAAAGTGGGAGGCCATGGCCCCCTGGCCGCCCCGGCTCCGGCACTGGTGACCATGACCCCAAATTGTTTTCAGAGTCACTGCTGCCCACGATCGAGCCCCCATTCTGTAAGTGTGACCGGCATTCTTTGTTGCTAGATATAGACATTTTGTTCAGCCCTGTTAAAATGCCTGCAGAACCAAAGCCCGGAGCACTTGGCATCAAAGATCCCGTGGGACTATTCACATAAACTGGGTCATTATTGCTGGTGTCCTGGACACACTGCAGTTGGCAGTAGTAACTACATTCTTCCGACCTACATTCCTTCAGTTTAATTGGAGGTGGTGTTCTTCCCTGCCTGTGCTAAAATGTTGTGCAGTTTTGTAGAGAGTGGCTGTGGCATTCCTCCCCAGAGGGGGTGAAAGGAATCCCGTGTATACCTGTATTAAGCACTGTGCAATGTGCTAGGATTAACTGCTGCTATTTCTGACATGTGGTACCATGACGCACACAGGCTATATGTGATACCTTGAGTCACTGCATTTCCTGTGGCTTCGTTCTCTGGCTCCATCTGTCACAAGCAGCACCAGACAAGCCAGGGGACCTGTATTTCCCTTTCATTTGTGCCATGTCTCGCAGGCGGGAGATTCATTCCTGCAGCCTGCTAATTGCTTTAATTACCCTCACCTGGCTAATAGCACACAGCTACTGCCAGCCACTTCCCTTAAAGAGACTGTAATCCAAACAGCTGCTGCCTCTGATTCGAAGTATTAGGAATGACTTATGTTGCAGGGGTGCCCAGAGGTCCCTGCCAAGAGCCAAGGCTCCGTTTGCTGGGCTGTACCCACAGCAAGCAAGTCCCTGCCCACAGGGCTTCCAATCCACACAGACAGAGGTGGGAGCAGCAAGGGGACAGGACTTGGTCAAGGTCCCCAGCAGGGCAGTGACAGCTGGGAATGAAACCCCAGGGCTGTGATGTCTGCCCAGGGGATTCTCTGATGTGGCTGCTGGATGCACAGGGTGTGTCCACACTGCATTGGAAACTGGGTCTGTGGGACCCAGACTTGTGGATTCGGTTTCCAGGCCCACACTTGAGTGTCCACGGTGCATTGTAAAGCTGGGCTTACAACAGCTGGACCCGGGTCTGAGCCATGCGAACCCATCCACGCTGCACTGTGCAGACCTTCTGACTCCGGGTTGCAGCTTGAGCTGTGACCACACTGCGCAAAGGCAGGGCTTGGACCCGAGTCACAGCAGGACTTGGGCTCTGACCCTGCCCACCCCCTGGTAGGCCCTGCTCTCACATCCTGAGTCAGACAGATTTCTGTGTGAACGGGAGAGGGGTTTGGCACAAACCGGAGTCTGAGCCCTGGTTTACAGCGCAGTGTAGACATACCCACGCTGATGCTGGGGCGCTCTCTGGCGGTCAGGCCTACACCCCCAGCCTGTGCTGTCTGGACTCCACACTCATGGGCGGGACGGCTGCCTGCACTTCAGCCCCCTCCTAACCTCTACAGCTGGAGCTAACAGCCCAGCTCACCTAGCAGGTGCCAGTAGCAAATGCATAAACCACTGCATGTGGTGCCAGCGCTTGAGGAGGCCGAGAGCTGCACTGGTAACTAGGATGTGCCTTATGTTGCTGTAGCACCTGCCATCAAAGGATCCCGGAGCACTTTGCGAAGGGGGATTGGTCCCTTTATCTGAGAGGGGAAACTGAGGCACGGAAGGCTGTGTGTCATCCATGTCGGCAGAGAGCTGAGATGACGACCCTGGGCTCCTAGCTCCAAGACTCTGGCAGGGGCACTAGAGCATCCTAACTCTCGGGGTGGGGTGGGGGGTGGCTCTGGATCAGTGGGGCTGGACAGGGTAGGGGAGTGCTGGTGGCTGGCTGGCCTAGTGCAGTGGTTTTCAAACTTCTTTTCTGAAGAAAATTGTTGATGCCCGTGACCCTACGGAGCTGAGGATGAGGGGTTTGCGGTGTAGGAGGGGCTCAGGGCTCGGTCAGGGTTAGGGTGCGGGGGTGAGGGCTGCGGGGTGGGGCTGGGAGTGAGTGGTTCAGGTTGTGGGAGGGGGCTCTGGGCTGGGGCAGGAGGTTGGGGTTCGGGAGGGAGTCAGGGCTCTGGACTGGGGGTGCAGGCTCTGGGGTGGGGCTGGGGATGAGGGGTTTGGGGTGCAGGAAGGGGCTCCAGGTTTGCGAGGGGCTCAGGGCTGGGGCAGGGAATTGGGGCGCGAGGTTGGGACATGGGCTTATCTCGGTCGGCTCCTGTTCAGCGGGGCAGTGGGGGTGCTAAGGCAGGCTTCCTGCCTGTCCTAGCACCGCGGACCACGCTGCACCCCAGAAGCGGCCAGCAGCAGGTCTGGCTTCTAGGCAGAGGTGCACAAGCGGCTCCACGCGGCTCTCACCCACAGGCACCGGCCCCCCAGCTCCCATTGGGCGGTTCTCGGGGCAGGGGCAGCGCGCAGAGCCCTGTGCCCCCCGCCCCCACCCCCGCCTACCGGACCTGCTGCTGGCCGCTTCTGGGGCACAGCGCGGTGTCAGCACAGGTAGGGACTAGCCTGCCTTAGCCGGGCAGCACTGCCGACGGGGCTTTTAACGGCCCTGTCAGCGGTGCTGACCAGAGCCGCCGCGACCCAGTGCCTTCTATTCCATGACCCAGTACTGGGTCACGACCTGCAGTTTGAAAACCATTGGCCTAGTGGGTGCTGCTCCCCCGTGCCGAGGGCTGTATGTGAAAGCAGCCTCGGTCTGCCATTCACATGACCTCTGAGCAGTAGTGCTGAGAAAGTTGCCCCCTCCCCCATAACTGGGGCGGTATTTGAGGATGCAGGGCCGGGGCTCAGCGGAGAGCTTGGCATGGGCTGAGCTGAGCTGCCGTCTGTTACAGCGCAGGCCTGGGAGCCGGTGGGAGCAGCCTGAGTCTTTCACACACCCAGGGCCGGCTTTAGGCCGATTCGCCCGATTCCCAGGAATCGGGCCCCGCACTTGCTAAGGCCGGCCCTGCACACACCCAGCCGCCGGGGGTGCGTGGTGGCGGAGACCCCTGGCCGTTCAGGTGATCTGCAGCCAATTCCCTGGCTCCTCTGCACAGCCTGGGGCAGGCTGGAGCAGCGAGACCTGCCCCTTGGCATGTCTCTCTCCTGCACCTGGCTCCACGCCCATAAAGTACACATGGAGCTGAGTGCCAGCAAATCCCAGCACCGGGCGAGCCACCACTCACCTCCATGCCTCCTGGAATCCCGGGGCTGAGGGGCGGGGGCTGGCTGCCCCACAAGAGCTCAGAGCAGCTGGGGCTTGTGTGGTGCGTGGGGAAGTGCCCCAGGAGAGCCCCAGCCCATCAGGATGGCTCGGCTGCAGCCCTTCTCCTCTGGTGCACCCGGGCTGCACAGGAGCGACTCAGCCGAGTGCGGCTGGAACGTGAGTCTGGCTCAAGAGCAGCGTCTCGGGCACGCAGTGGCATCAGCATCGGGGACCCTGGGGCCTCCAGCAGCCTTCGCCTGTCCTGGCTGGGTTTGCTTGGGTGGTGCCCGACAGTGACCCTGACCACTGGCCCAGAGAAGCATGCTGTGGCAGGTCTGCAGGCTGGGGCGACAGAAGGGCAGGAGGGGACGCACGCCAAAGCGGGTGGATGGGGCTGGGATGCGGGGGAGGCAATGAGAAGAGCTGGCCCGGAGGGGGATCGGGTGGGTGGGAGGAACCCCTGAACCAGCCGGGCGTCCTTTCCAGTCTACCTGTTTCATATGAAGTTCAGGGCTCTGTGTTCAGCCCTTCCGCCCACTCCAGCAGGGAGCTGCTGAGCGCTCAAGGAGCCAAGACACGTAATTAAGCGCGATTGCTTGTGTTAGAAGGGAAAGTGGTTAACCCTGCGCGCCTGGGTGAGCAGGGGCCCGTACTCTGTGTGTGCATGTGGGGGGGGTGTCCAGGAGTGCATGTGAACCAGTTCTTGGGGAGTGCATGTGGAGGGGTGTGCAATGTGTCTGTAGTTTGCATGTGGGTGTGTGAGCAGGGTGTCTTTGTGCACATGCATGTTGGCAGGTGTGTCTGTTCAGGAGCATGTCTGGGTGCACAATGGGGGGGAGGGGAGGTTGTCTCTCTCTCTCTCTCTCCCTGTGTGTGTGGATTCCTATACGGGTGCATGTGCACGTGTGTGTTTGGCCATGTGCCTGTGTACACGGCTGTATCTCAACACAAGTGAGTGTATGTTTGTAGCTACGTATCTGTTGGGGAGCTAACCCTGCACATGGGTATCTCAGTAAGTGTCGGGGGGGGGGGGCTCGCCCATCTAGCAGCTCTGTCCTCTGGTGAGCAAGCTCCCCCTGCCCCCACCCTGTGCTGGTCTCCAAAGAGCAGGGCACATTGGGGCTCTCCATGTAGTGTCTTGGGAAATGCAGCCCATCGTATCCGAGCCCCATCAATGGGCCAGACCACTCCCACCTGGGACAGGCCAGAACTGCCCCCACCCTGCAGGCTGAGGGTGCATGGCCTAAAAGGAGGACAGCTCTCATCCCATTTGGGACAAGGGCTGACTGGCTCGAGCAGGGAGCGTTACCCCTGGCTCACACAGCCAGCATGATTCACTGACTGCCCCGAGATCAGACTCAGCTGGGGAGGGAGTTCCCCGGCAGTGGGGGTGTCAGCGGAGGCTTGAGGCCAGCGCAGTTACTGAGAGCAGTGGTGGGGCAGATGGGGGGAGTGAGGGCCAGGCTGGGGGCAGGGGCTGGGACCTGGCTGGAATTTAGGCTGTCTCTGAGTCTCATCAGACCTATCCTTAAAGTCCTCCCGCTATCCCAGCCTGCCCTGCCTGAGGTTGATGGGGGCAGCCTGGCTATCCCATGCAGGGCACTGATGGCAGCCCTATGGCCATAGGCGCTCTAGGCCTGCTGGGATTGCAGAGCACGGTCTCGGCCCGTCGTGCTGATGCAGGCTGCTTTCTCTCTCTTGCAGATCTCAGAGTTGTTTGAGATGATCGAAAAGATGCAGGTGAGTCGCCTCCCTGGAGCTGGGCCCGTGGCTGGCTGAGCAGAAGAAAGGAAGGAAGGAAGGTGCAATACACACTAGGAGGCATGGGCGGGGAGTACGCGGGCTCTGGGGAGCCAGCCAAAAAGTGGAGGCTGGTTTGGGGAAGGGATTCCCAGCGGGACTCTGCTCTGGGTCCATCTCAGCCCAGGGAGCTCCCTCACCCTCCACCCCTGGCTGGGATGAGAGGTCCGCCAGGGCCCATGTGTCAGGCCCTGTGTCTCCTGGGAGAGCCAGGGCGGGAGCAGCCCTGAGGGCTCAGAGATTGGAGGAGGTTGGACAGGGTGTCGACTCGGTACCATTCGGCGGAGGCTGTCGCTGTGGCTGGAGTTTTTCAGTGTCTCGCTGCAGCTGATTCAATACATTTCTGGAGGGGACGGGCATGAGTAGGGTCTCCTCTGATGCTGCAGGTTAGGCAGAGCCAGGGAGATGGGGGCCCTGCAAACCCCTAGGTGCTTTCTAGAAAGGCCCTTTGCACTGGGCACCCCTCAGGAGGGGGTCTCTCTGTGGACCCTGACCTGGGACTGAGGATGAAGCTGATCCGTCATCCCCTAATGGGATTGGCGTTTCTGAGACGGCTGCTGGCAGTGGCTAAGTCGCCGAGCAGAGGCATCTGCAGAAGTGGGTCCCAGACTGGGAACCAGGCTCTGCCCAGCTGGTTCAGCGTGCAAAGCCAAGCTCTCCAAGTGAGCAGAGCTGAATGGCTTCCTGGGCCTTTGTAGCCCTGGGACTTGTCGCTGTCCTGATGCGCTGCACAGACACACGGCGATACAGGGACTCTAGCAGAGGCTGAGCAGCCTCAGTGACAACCAGCGCCCCGCCCCCAGCTGTGAGTACATGGGCATGCTTGCAGAGATCCTGCCAGGCACTGCCACAGGTAGACACAACCCCCAAGTCCCTCCCACAGCCATCGACTCGGAGGAGGATACAGAGCAGGGACAGCCACGCGGCTGCGACCCACAGCTGCCTGCAGATCTGTGCCAAGCAGGAAGCAGCCCCCACCCGCAGAGCAAACACGCACTCTGGTGCCAGGGCCACTCACTGACTCCCTCTTCCTTGTTGTCTCTCACAGGGAAGCAGAATGGATGAACAGCGATGCTCCTTCCCACCCCCTCTCAAGGTAGGCCCCAGAGGATGCTGCATGGGGGCACGGGCATTGGCTCTCCCTGCCCCAGCACATTGGGGGTTACCCACTCATGCTGGGATGCCCTCTGCAGTGTCGGATGGGGCCTGTGCTTTGCACCGTGTGGCGCACTGCCCGGCTGCAGGTGGCTCTGGTGCCCCTTGCGCTCTGTATCGAGCTCAGCATCCACAGAGGGGCTCTGACTAGAGGCAGAGAAATCGATGCCCTCCTCCCCCCAACCCCCGGCTCTGAGGGCTGCTCAGCAGGAGCTGTACAGGGTTCCCAGCCTCTGCTCTGCCACTGCGCTTTAGTTTGAACACCAGCCCTCCTTGCTTTTCCAGTCCTGCCCAACCCCAGCTCTGC